ATGACGATCCTCTCCTCCGGAGACGGGCAGGCTCATCTTCCCAGCTCCGAGCTCAGCTGGTGACTCGCAGAGGCCGTTCCAAGACCCCAGCTAAGCGTAATCATGAAGGTCCGACCCACGCAGACAGGCGGACAGAGACGGGTCTGCGATGAACGGTGGAAGCGATTTTAAAAAACTTTTTATGTGTAAAAAAAATAATAATGATTTTTAAATCGCTTCAGCAATTTTTTAAAACATTTTTTGTATAAAAACAAAATATTATTTTATTTAAAAATCGCTTCCACCGTCCGCCTGACTGCCGGGTGGGATCGGGATTCAGCCTTCATGATTATGTGCGGCCGGGGTCTGGCAACGTCTATCTGCGAGTCCCCATCTCCAGCTTTGCAGTGACCAGCGGAGCTCTGAGCACACAAGGCTGGTATCCGGAAATCGAGCCTCCGAGTCGGCACATCGAAGGATCTTCCGCGGTGACCAGCTGAACTTGGAGCCGGGGAGATGACGCCCTGCCCTGCTTGGCGCTCCGAGGCTCCGGAGGGAGGATCGGGGTAGACCAGCAGAGCTCCATCCAGCTTGCTCTGAATTATGTTGTCAGCCACCAAGCACAAAAAATGCCAGCACATCAGCATTAGACCAAGATGTTGTCAGTATTGTTTTAAAAATCTTTAAAATAAATCCAGCCGCTGCTCCAGTCCAAGAAATTGCAAATGGCGGATTATTGTTTTGAAACGTTTCTGAAGGATCCAGTGACTCCGCCCCCGACTCCGCCCCCGACCAATCAGTGACCGACAGTGTTCTGACGTCACGTTTTTGTACCTCTTTGTACCGGTTAGAACCACAGAGCCAAGGGTACTGAAAATATTAACAGCTGCTAAGTACCGGTACTAATGGAAAAGCCTCAGAACCGGGCCAAGTAGGGTCCAGTCGGCCCGTACTGGTACTAATGGAAAAGGGGCATAAATTATCCTTCGGTGTGAGTGAGAGAGTGAATAGTTGTTTGTCTCTGTGGCCCTGTGATGGACTGGAGACCTGTCCAGGTGTCCCCCGCCTATCACACAGTGACTGCTGGACATGAGCACCAGTGATCCCCACAACCCAAAAATAAAGAAGTAGGTCAAGATGATGGATGGATGGATGGATGGATGAATGGAGGGATTTATAAAACAGCCAATTTGCTGATTTTCAGCTAACTCTTGGTGTGGTATGTTAAGCACTATTTGTAGCATATATTCTGAGAAAAATACATTGGTCAATCACTTGGTTTGAAACTTTAGCTTTAAATGTTGGAATCTAACCTGTTTGTTAGTAAAATATCTCATGAATCACTGAACACATTTTAATAGAACTTTCAGAATGTAAGCATGTATAAAATTATTCAAGATGCCCATCACAGCCAGTGAACCTTAGTCTACACAAAAATGGCTCAATCTTTATGATTACCACAACTGTTGATCTAGAACTTGTTGCAGTCGCAGCTGAGGGCAACGCATACTGCAATCACTAACAGATCATACAAGAGCAGGATATTGTGAGTTAGTGTGAAAAGACGTGGGTAGTATGCATTCCTTAAAGCAATGCAAGGCCTTTAATTATTCATGTTTGATCCAGGCTTTTTTTTTTTTCTTTGATAACTAAAGTTTTAAATGTTTGCTTAGCAGACAGTAGGATTTTTTGTAAAATATATAAAAAGATTAAAAAAATAATTAAGGAAATTACCTTTCACCACCAGAGCTCCTGTGCTGCTCGACGCTCCAAAATGGTTTCTGGCCACACATGTATACCGGCTCTCATCAGATTTAGAGATATTGGTGATTCGCAGATTTCCATCATCTGAGATAGTGTGTCTGAAGAGAGTGACAAAAACTGAAAACAGCTCATCTGTAATTTGATGAAGTACATGTTCTAATTACACTTTTCCCATTCAATTTTTGTTTGTTCTTTTTGAGGCTTTAGAATACATTCCTGAAATGTATTTGCAAATTTCAGAAGATAGTTATATATATTGCATTCATAAAGTTATATTAGCAGAAGCAGAACAGCTTGCGTGTTTCTTTTAGTGCCACAATTTCATATCAGTTGGACCTACAATGAGACGCCAAGTCTAGGGAAGGACAGTGATAAAAGCAGAGCGGCACTGAAGAGAGGAAGGTTGAAAGGTGCTGTAACCTCCAATCTTAATCATTTTGAAACATAATAAAAACATTTCAATACATGTCGAAGAATATTACATACTTAACTGCAAATTTAGGCTTTTGGAATAATGACACTAAAGGTTTATAACCATGGCTATATATCAGTCAGTTTTAATGACTGAGCAAAGAACTGGTGTGGTTTGAGCTGAGAGGGATCTCCACCTTAAACTCTGAATGCTAACTCATCACAAGATTTGAGTCTAAATCTTTGCCATAAACTATTAGAATCAACTCTGTTAGACAAATAGATAAATTTATGATTTGCAAATGTGACATTCATTAATTTTCCTTTAAAGGTTAGTCTTGAAAATACTATTTTAATGCTATTTCAAAAGATGGTTACTGAAATAATGAATATTTAAGATACACAGAGTGCAGCAAGTAGCTGAAACAATCTGTTTTGAAAAAGCATGCAAGACACCTGAAGTTCAAGATCGCTGCCTATGCTTTTTTCCCAAAATGGTCACCATTCAGATCATATAATTTCACCACTTTGATCAATTTGGATGATCCAGAATAGAATTCAAAATCTTATTTCTAACCTACAAAGCTCTCAACAACCTGGCTCCATCTTATATTACAGATATTATTGTTCCATATTTTCCTAACAGAGCAATTTTCTCTCAGGCTGCAGGTATATTTGTGGTTCCTAGAATTTACAAAAACAGAATGGGAGGCAGATCTTTCAGTTATCATGCTCCTCTCTTGTGGAACCAACTTCCAATCTCTGTCCGTGAGGCTGACACATTATCTAGTTTTAAAACTAGGCTTTCCTTTTTGCTAAATCCTATAGTTAGTGTCGGCTTGGGTTTCCTGAGCTGTCCCTTAGTTATGCTGCTATATACTGTAGGCTTAGACTGCTGGAGGACAAACTGACCACACTTTTCACTCTGCTACTGTCTTTACTTACTCTGCTTAACCTGTTTTGGATTTGTAATTATTTTTTCTATCCTTTACATGTGTTTTTTTTTTTTTTTTTTTGTCTATCAGGTACACCTGGACCTACCATTCTGTGTTCGTCTGTCTCTCCTTCCTGTCCTCTCAACCAGCCGGTCAAAGCAGATGGCCACTTGTCCTGAGCCTGGTTCTGCTGGAGATTTCTTCCTTTTAAAAGGGAGTTTTTCCTTTTCACTGTTGCCACTGTGCTTGCTCAGGATGGGAGACTGCAACGGAGCCAAGATTCAACTTGTCTGCTGGATTCCTTAGATAGAGAACTTTATTAATTGGCTTTTATGTATGTGAATGTTTCTGTAAAGTGCCCTGAAACAACTTTGTTGTGATTTAGTGCTATATAAATAAACTGAATTGAATTGAATCTTGGTGTGTAAACGTTGTATTTTGACAATGGAAAAGCTACAAATATCTAAATCTTTTGAGGAGCTTACCATTTTTAGCAAAGGATGGTAAAAACTACAGATAGACCAAGACACGTGCTACAAACTATTTTTATTTGTTTCTTATTTCAATGTTCAGTTGGAATAATCAGTTATCTGCACAGTTTGGGACAGTGATAGTTAAACTGCAGTATGGAATGCATCTCGTAAAAAGTTGAAAATGGTCACGTACAGGTTAGTTACTACAGAGCAAAGAGTCAAACAGTGCTCTCTAATGCATTATTCGTTCTTGAATCCTCAATGACTCCAGCAGTGAGCTGGTCTTTTGTCCTTTGATTCAATCATTCCATAGCAGGGTAGGCCTATTTGTCATCCTAATGATTGTGAACTTGACCTAACCCTCACATTTGCAGTTCCATAGTCCAGTGCAGGTAAGCCTGAATCAGAAGCCTTTGCAGCTTCCACAACATCCTAATGTGAATTCACACTTGGTCATCCATTGGCAACTCTTTGCATTATGTGGAAGCAATGTCCAGAAGATGTTCAGTGTCTCCACTCTTTGTTCATCACCAGTCAGCAGGATTAGCAGCACCTTGAATTTCAAGTGGCCCACATGTTTTTTCAAAGAGCAATATCCAATGTGTATCTGTGCTGAGTTGTATTTGTATCACCCTATAGTGAATGGACTGTACGCATAGAACGTTATATCTTATCACTTTTCTCAAAGTGCTTTACACTACAATCTGTGCCCTCATTTACCCATTCATACAGCACTCTACTAGATCTATACAAAGACTAATCAGGACTTTAGATCACATTCATACACTGAAGGGACACACATCAGAGGCAATGAGGGGTTCAGTGTCTTGCCAAGGGACACTTCAACATGTGACTGCTGGTGGAATTGAATCCCAACTCTCCCATTGGAGGACGACTGCTCTAACCACTCAGCCACAGCTGCCCACTATGAAATATTTATCTGAAAAAAAAAGTTATCTGCGGCACTAACCTTAAGTATCTTGAGGGGTTGATTGAGGAAATGTCTAATGCAGCTCTCTGCTTGAATGGGGCAAAACATGTATCAGCATTTGGGAAAGGAAGTTTGAGACTGTCATCTTTGTATGTTCTCATATAACAGACGTGAGATGTTCTGCTTACTCAGGTGTAAATAAATAAATAAATAAATAAATAAAACATTAAAAATAAGTCAAGTACTCCACAGCCTGAAGCTATAGCACGTATCTTATCACATTATAATAGTAAGACTTGAAGATGCCTCAGATGATTGTATTTCATATTTTATAGGCTTGGATTTTATCTTGTCTGAATTAAAAAAGAAATGCAATAAAAACCTGTTCAGCGCTCTTAAAATATCTTAAAACCACTACAGGGAGTTGATATGAAGGGATTTTGAAAGCTAAGAACCAGCTTCATTTACAATGTTTTACAACATAGTCAGACAGCATGTAAACACATGCATAAATGAGGCCGATTATACTCTCTTGTTGTGACCTTTAGATTCAGTAAATCAAACCAAAGCGCTGTGAGCAGTCAGCTCCAAAAATCAAACAATTTCCTCCTCATTTCTAAGAATAAATATGGACACTTGGGCCAGTCTCAGACCCAGAAAGCAAGTCTGACATTTTGGTGCTTTGTGCTGATTTATTGACAACAATACCAAACACTGAGTGATGGAGGCACAGTAAGAACATGACCTCTGGGTCAATGAGGTGCAAAACAAATTGAAATGTACAAAACTATCTGCTTAGTAGACAAATTCCATTCCAGGCTGTGAATTTTGTTTTATGTCCAAGGGTGCTGCCTGCATAATGGCTTGATGTTTCTTTCTCTAAAAACAAACCTCTGAAAAGGATGATAAATAATCCATCTCACTGGTCACATGTTAAGGCAGTTCTGGTGAATTAAAGAAAATCAGTGGGAGTACAGCTGAACATATTGATCAAAGTGAGAAAGGGATTTCACACATCATCTCATAAAATATTTAATGTGCAAAAAATGCACACAACAGTCAGTTTACTAAGTTAAGTGAAAAGAGTAAGCAGCATTTTGGATGAATTCATGGTCCACTTAATATATATATATACATATATATATATATATA